GAGGGAGGTGTTACGGATGTATGTGAGACACATGCGGATGGAAAAAGGAGCTGAGTCCCTTTGAGATTCGATTTGGTTGCTTTCCAGTTTGAGTTGATTTGTGTGCCTTAAATTAGAATAAATTTACTTGCTAATTAGACTAGTATATTGTTTTTCTAATTTTTGTAGGAATAAAATTATGAATGATTTAGGACTTTACTTATTTATCTCTTCTCCTTCTTATACAAAGGGGTTTGAATCTTTATAATTACTCAGGAATAATTTCTCTTCTTATTACTCCCTCCGTCCCAAAAAGATTTACACGTTTCAAAAAAATTGTGTCCCACAATCTACTACTCATTTCTATTAAAAAACCACTTTTACCCCTTACTTTTCAAACCCTACCTATCACATCATACATTTTTGCTAATAATATACACATCACATCCTACTTTTACCCATCATATCAAGGGTATTTTTGGAAAATCAACACAAATTTATCCATCCCTTAATTTCAACTTTAGTCAAAATGGGTAACACTTTATAAGACGGAGGGAGTATTTACTAGGGATTTTTTAGTTGGAAGGTTATATAGAATCTTGCCTTACTTTGCCCCATATATTATAGGCCACGCCCATGCCCAGGGGCAGTCCTGACTGCACATTTAGATATGTGTTGGGTATACTTTATACTCCCTCCGTCCCAAAAAGATTTACACGTTTCAAAAAAATTGTGTCCCACAATCCCTTACCTATTTCTATTAAAAAACCACTTTTACCCCTTACTTTTTCAAATCCTACCTATCACATCATACCTTTTTCCTAATAATCTACACATCACATCCTACTTTTACCCATCACATCAAGGGTATTTTTGGAAAGTTAACACAAAATTATCCCTCTCTTAATTTCAATTTTAATCAAAATGGGTAACACTTTATGGGACGGAGGGAGTATCAAGTGATATTTGACTAAAAACATTTTTGGGTCAGGTTCCATTTGAGTTGACTATGGTTTACATGATCAATTTAGTTTGTTTCGGTCTATAAGACTTATTACACGATGAATTTTCCTAAATTTTGATGAAAATTTTAATTTGATATTCCAACTTAACAATCTTTCACAAAAATATCTAAATTTTTAATTCTTTTTCACTAATAATCTTTAGTCTCTCCGCTTTTTACTTGCTTATTTTTTTCTTTTGTTCCTTTTTTAACTCTT